TTTTTTTTTTGTTGCAGTTTGGCTGGGCCTGGGTTTGAGCCCACCACCCTTGGTATATGGAGCCAGTGCCCTACCAACTGAGCCACAGGCTCCATCCTAATATCTGTTTCTTGAATGAGTGACTTGGCAAGTGGGAAAAAGTAAACTCTTGCCTTTGGTGGGGGAAACAGCAGATGACCAGCGTTTACCCCAGGGTAGGAGCTAGCTTCTGACCATGCCTGGGCCTTGGTTGCTCTTCTGTAGCTGAGAAGTGGGCTGTGGGTGTGGCTAGTGATGATGAGGGTCGCACCCCTAAGTGACAGGGCTGACATATGGTTAAGTTCCAGGACAAATGTGTCGATCCCTGCATGTACTTAAGCTAGGTACCTGGGGTTCAAGGGGGTGGCTCTCTGGAGGTGTGAAGGAAGGTCATTTTTCTCCACTTCCTTTCCCTTCCCTGGCTTTGCCTACTCTTTAATACCTTAAATTCTTTTAATGATGACAAAATCTTTCCATCTGTTGTTATTACTTAGAGGCAGGTGCTTTGGGGTGGAAGAATAGTGGAAAATCAAGTCACCGTATACTCAGGTGAGGTGTCGTGTATAGTTGCTTTAGCAATGGGATGTATGTGTATGTTGTCTGACCAAGGAACGGACATGTAGTTGACAACAGAGCCATGCTAGAGAGACTAGGCCTAGGGGAAGGTAAGTGGGAGAGGAAATAGGACATCTTGTTCACGTGTTCCCAGCTTTGTTGAGGACCCCACCTGGCCAGGTCTGAATTTTCTTATGTTTTATGATAGTCAACACCTGTTCCTTGCTGGGTGGAGCCACCTCACTCAGCAGTGTCCTGTGCTGCTTAAATAGGACCCAGTTAAGCCATAGTTTATTAAAATGTGCGTCCTATTAGAGCAGGTTTGGGGTGGAGCCGAAGCTCCTGCATTTCTGCAATGCTCTATAGACCACTTACAGTTTCTCCACGAGAGATGGCACTGGGTTTGGTGTGCATGCCAAGTCTGATCAGTGGTCAGTGCTGTGCATGGTGGGTGGCCAGAATTTTACTAAAGGAGACACTCAGCTCGTGGATTGATAGGGGTTGTCCAGAGTGGATATTGCCCCAGTTCTGCCTCTGCGAAGGTTTCCTTTATATTTTTAGTAAGTGTTCAGATGTCTGACTTGGCAGGATGGCAGTGCTTATTATATCTGGGGCCTCGTTTCCCGATAGTGGTGTGTCCCATCCATCATCACTAGAACTTAACCAGTCAACCCGCATGTTTACATGAGGGAGGACATGCCTGGCACTTCTCCCAGAAAAATGGCTGTCCTGAGTGGAATTAAGTTGTGAAATTTGAGGGTCAAGGCTCATTTTTACTGGGAGCTGGAACTAAGGGAAATGATCAGGAATACCTATGTTGTGTCAGTGAAGGAATCAAGGCAACAGCTAACCTTGCCCACAGGAGGCGTCTGCTTTGCTAGGCCTTTTCAGTAGTAGAGAAGGAGGAAAGAGAAGGTAGTCATTTCAGGCATGACGGTGGCTAAGAGCTAGTGTTAGACGCCTCACTTAAGATTTTAAATTTAATCTTTTTTTTTTTGAGGCAAGAGTCTTATTCTGTTGCCCTGTGTAGAGTGCAGTGGCTTCATAGCTCACAGCACCCTCAAACTCTTAGGCTCAAGCAGTCCTCCTGCCTCAGTCTTCCAAGTAGCTGGGACCAGCGGCGCTGGCTATTTTTTGGTTGCAGCTGTCATTGTTTGGTGGGCCCGGGCTGGATTTGAACCGGCCACCTTAGGTGTATGTGGCTGGTCCAGCCTTAGCCACTTGAGCCACAGGCGCCAAGCCCTTTTCATTGATCTTAAGTGGATATTGACTCTGAGTTTCTTCGTCCACACAACCCTTGCTACTTGCAGAGCTCTCAATGCAGCTTTGCACTCAGAAAGCTGATATTTAGGCTCAGCGCCCATAGCACAGTGGTTATGGCACCAGCCACATACACCAAGGGTGACGGGTTCAAACCTGGCCCAGCCAGCTAAGCAACAATGACAAATGCAACAATAACAACAAAAATACCCGGGTGTTGTGGCGAGTGCCTGTGGTCCCAGCTACTTGGGAGGTTGAGGCAAGAAAATCGTTTGGGCCCAAGAGTTTGAGGTTGCTGTGAGCTGCAACATAATTGGACTCTGCCACAAGAAAAGAAAAGAAAGAAAGCTGATATTTAAAGGAACTATGTTTTTGTTGTTCTCTCCCTTTTTCTCTCCTTTCTTTACCCTTTCTCCTTAAGAAACCTGTTGTAATTCAATATAATACATATATGAAATAATTTATCTGCTTGAATGAGTTGATTCAATTTGGTTTT